CCAAACCAGGTGCATGTATGGTGCTACGCACAGGGTTGGGTTGTAACGGAATACATGTAACGGTGTTACGTAATCAGAATACAAAAATCAAGTAACTGTATTCAGCTCGCATTACATTTAAAAACGAGTAATCTGATTACAGTTACTTTAGTAAACCTGAAGTGAATACATTTTGGATTACTTATTGGAATTATTGATGGAAAGATTTCCTCTCAACATTTAATATTCATTACTAAAGGTACAGCCGAATCATCACAGCGCACAAAACCTATTACCGCCGCACATTAAAACAGTAAAAACACGCTCAGTTTCCTTTTGCTTTTTGTGTTTTTTTAAGACACGTAACTGTAACTATATTCGGATTACTTTCAGAGCCATGTAATCAGTAATCAGTAACTGATTACATTTACAAAGTAACCCTCCCAACCCTGGCTACGCACATGTACTAAATCTGGTGCTTGCAAACACAACCCAGATTGTTATTGAGAGTGGGTCCCTGTTTGCGCTCCTCAATGGCATTGCGGTATTCATCAAAGAGTCATATAAAAGGATGAATGTGTGGGAAGAGTCAGGCCGAAACAAGAGACGTAGACGCCTTGCTCCTATTGGCGAGACACGCTGATGGGCCAAGCATGAGGCCCTGAAGAAGAGACACGCTGGTGGGCCAAGCATGAGGCCCTGAAGAAGAGACACGCTGGTGGGCCAAGCATGAGGCCCTGAAGAAGGTGTTTGGCTCCTTTGGAAAAGCGGAAGATGGTCTGTACGTTGATGTGCTGTTGACACTATACAGAAACAGGCAACAGTGAAACCATATATCCGTGTCATGGCCAGAGGATATGCAGAGTCATTGCTCAAGTATGAGACGATCTTGACGGCTCAAATCTTCCTCCGCATATTTGAACATACCTCTCCATTGTCTAAATACCTTCAGACGGCAGGATTGGACATCCTCTCTGCTCACAGAATGGTGGCATCGACACAGGATACGCTGAAAAGCTTGGGAAGAGATTTTGAATCTGTAAAAAAAGCAGCAGACACATTTGTCAACTGGACAAACACAGAAATCCAAGAGAGAGATGACACGGACATTGAAGTGGAGGCCACACTGCCACAAAAGAGGAGGAGGATGAAGAAAGTCTTGCCTGGAGAGATGGCTCAGGATGAGACCCTGGATGATGCAGAACAATCCTATGAGGTGAATGTGCATAACCGGATCATGGACACAGCAATTGAAGCCATTCATAGGCGCTTTTTAACACACGGCAATCTATATGCTGACTTGGCATGTCTGGATCCCAGTGCTCTTCCCTCAGCTCTGCACCAGTGCTCTTCCCCAGTCTGCCCTTCAAGACTTAAGCAAGTGCTTGCAAGGATTTGACAGCAGGGCAACCAAGGAAAATCTGCAGGCCGAGTTGAAAAGCTTTGCACTCCAGTGGAACAGGCTGAAGGCATCCCCATTGGCAGAGTACAAAGCAAGAACAGTAGAAGATGGATCAGGTGGTGAGGAGGAGGACAGCACAGAAGAGGTTGAGATAACTCCCATAAGCTGTTGCTCCTGCAAAGAATGCCCTCTGTGCTGCTACCAGATACTTCGCCGTTTCAACATGCTAACAGATGCATACCCTGTCCTAGGCCTTGCTTATACATACCTGCTTACATTATCCCTCACACAGGTGGCTTGTGAGCGCACATTTTCCATTTTGAAGTTTATTCAAAACAGACTCAGAAGCACCCTCTCATCTGAGAAATTGGAGGCATTTATGTTGATGGCCACAGAGAAAGACATCCTCATGGCCTTGGACTCTGTGATAGACAGACTTGCAGAGAAGAGTGAGCTGCTTAAAAAGCTGCTCCACTGATAAGGCGAGACATATTTAATATTATTGTTATTATCACACATCACACATTATGGATGTAGTAATTCATTATTTGTCATTTGAATGATGCTTTTCAGAAGTGTTATTGTGCTTATGTGTTGATCCTTAATGGTGTGATCATGTACACGAAATGATCAATTATTCTCCATTACAGGTTGTTCTGATATATTTGAGGAGTCGTTCTCCCTCTGTTCTATATGTGGACTTGTTCTCTCATTTGGGACCACTGTTAGAATTTGGTAAGTTTATCATGTATTTTTTAATGTTGTATAAATTCATACTTCATAATTTAAAAAAAGTTTTGAAAGAAACGCAAATCCCAAAAGTTTTCAACTCTAGGTGCAGGACAGAGGAAAACATTTTATTTATTTTTCAGACTTAATAATGTATCCAATTCCCTCTCAGGTTGACCACTTGACATGTGAGAGCTTGAGTAGTTGTTCCCCCTCCGTCCATGTTCGAGGACTTGCTCCACTGTTGAGTATGTCATGTGTCTTATAATGTTATATGAATTCATACTTGATTTGTGATGATGAGAGACTTAATAATGTTTCCATGTCTCTTTTAGGTTGACCACCCTATATATGAGAGCCTAAGGAGTTGTTTTCCCTCTGTCACCTTTTGAGGACCTGCTTTGTCTCCTCCATCATTCACTGGGCCACTTTTGGGTTCCTGAGTTTATTTCATGTGGTGAGAGGAATGCAATGTGTGTATGTTTAAAGGTTTATGTGAAGAAACATACTATATGTGTGATAAAATGACAGTTGGTAAATCATAAATGTCTCTTTATATTCTCTGCTACCATTATCTCCTGGCAAACAGCTTTTCCTGACCTGCTAGAAGTTCTTCTATGATGCTTGAGTCATCCATCATATCTGAGAGCTTCGTCTTGACTTGGTGAGTTTATTATGCAACTTGTTTTGTCTCAGATTGAAACAAAAGGTTTGATTATGATTATTTCCTGGCTGAAGATTTTCATATTGATGGTTTTAATTTCAAACATCTGCATATCTTTTAAGTTCAATGAACAGTTATGCAGGTAGGCCTTAGGGCTCTTTTGAGACTTAAGTCATCCTTCATGACAGATACATGTGTTCACTAAGTGTCACCACGTCACAAAAAGGCTACATGGCTACATATACTTGTCAGTACACAGATACTGAGTACAAGTTCTGTTTGCTGTTTCTTGCAGGTCACGAATTTGGTGAGGAGTGGAGCTGGCTGTCTGCGGACGAGGAAGTAGAGCAATACATACTTGTGCACATACACGTATATGAGAATGCATATCTATTCAGACCTGTCTTAGACTTTTCACACAGCTATATATATATATTTTTTTTTTTTCTTCCAATTCTCTATTTATGGTTTCATAATGACTGAGTCACCGATGAGTGAGTGAGTTTCAGCTCTAATGCTGCTACTGTCTGTAATATGTTTCTATTTAGATTATTTGTCAGGATATGTTTTTGTTATTATTGTCCGAGTCTGGTTTGAACTAATACTGGGCTTACAACCAAAATATTTTCACAGTCACAGACTAAAAACTGAAAGGGTAGCATAAGGGGTTCTTCCCGTTAGTCTTGTCCCACCCCTAGTCATGACATAACTTCTGTTGTGATTTGACACTATAATGAATAAAAGATTGATTGATTGATTGCTCTAGCTCGTCAATTGTAGTCCTTGAGTTCATAGTTAAGTGCTTAATATTTGTTAACTGCTATCAAGGATTGAACTACTCCTTTGTAGTATGCATGAGAGAAGATGCCGCGAGATTAGTGGACTTCTATGTAGTGTCTGCTGATAATGTAGTGGGCTGGTCTGGACAGAAAATGCCAGGGCTGAATTTTTGTCCCAGTCCACCCCTGGGAGGGAAATGAACAGGTGGATATTCTGGCCAAACAAACACTCAGAATTATGAACATAGACATAGAAGTTCCACTCAGCAAAGCGGAGGTTCAAACATTCAATCAGAAATATGCACAAACAACATGACAAGATCATTGGGATCTTAGTGATACAGGAAGACATCTTTATAAAATGCAAAGGTATGTGGGGGATGGAAGGAAGGTGGGGTTTAAAAGAAGGGGAGGAAAATGTCATTTCTCCGGATGAGAATAGGCATACATTAAGTATAATACAGGTCTCAATCATACATTAAGTATAATACAGGTCTCAATCATACTAAGTATAATACAGGTCTCAATCATACATTAAGTATAATACAGGTCTCAATCATACTTAAGTATAATACAGGTCTCAATCATACATTAAGTATAATACAGGTCTCAATCATACATTAAGTATAATACAGGTCTCAATCATACTACTTAAGTATAATACAGGTCTCAAATCATACATTAAGTATAATACAGGTCTCAATCATACATTAAGTATAATACAGGTCTCATCATACTTTAAGTATAATACAGGTCTCAATCATACATTAAGTATAATACAGGTCTCAATCATACATTAAGTATAATACAGGTCTCAATCATACTTTAAGTATAATACAGGTCTCAATCATACATTAAGTATAATACAGGTCTCAATCATACATTAAGTATAATACAGGTCTCAATCATACATTAAGTATAATACAGGTCTCAATCATACATTAAGTATAATACAGGTCTCAATCATACACTAAGTATAATACAGGTCTCAATCATACATTAAGTATAATACAGGTCTCAATCATACATTAAGTATAATACAGGTCTCAATCATACATTAAGTATAATACAGGTCTCAATCATACAGTAAGTATAATAAGGTACGTAATCAGTACATTAAGTATAATACAGGTCTCAATCATACATTAAGTATAATACAGGTCTCAAGTCATACATTAAGTATAATACAGGTCTCAATCATACATTAGTATAATACAGGTCTCAATCATACATTAAGTATAATAGGAAGCATCCAACCAGAAAGTGTATACACTGCAGCCAGCCAGAACTGTTGAGCATGTTTTACTGCTTTGCAGGAAATATAGTACTCAGAGAAATGTGCTTTTCCAGACACTCAAGAAAGCAAAATTCCATGACTTGTCGCTATCAGGGCTGTTAGGGAAAAAATCAGGCAATATGTATTGTGAGATTATTACGTTTCTAAGATAAATTGATACATTTAAAATAATCTAGAGTTTTGGTTCTTTGTTTTGTTTATTGTTTTCTGCATAGTCTCTTGTCCACACTCCAGTCCAGTTGGTGGCGGTAATGCACCTACAAGTTGGTTTGCCAACCGCCAATAAACACTGAAGAAGAATAAAAGCAAGAGAAGAAGACGCAGGCGGAAGTGTAGTGGAAAACATGGCGGCGTCCTATACACACATTTAGGACAAACTAACAACAGTGACAGAAACGTAGCCAAAGCCCGCCCATGACCCTGGAGACATGTCGCAGTGAGCGGAGCCGCTGTCAGGATGTGGCTGCTGGGCAGGACCGCGGCGCTGCGCTGCCTGCGGGCCGGAGGGAGGCCCGCGGCCCGCAGGCTCTCCTCCTCCGGACCCCCCTGGAGGCTGCTGTTCTTCGGCTCAGACCACTTCGCTGTGGAGTCTCTGAAAGTGCTCACATCCAACAGGTGAGTCCTGTATGAAGGTAGATATGGTGCAAAATGCGAGAGCGTGTAAAACCTGATGTGAGCACTTGCAGAATTTTGTTTTGAGCTTGTGTGTATACAATATCCACGTGTCTGTGAACCACATTTGAAGTGTTGTAGCTTGTAGGGGAAAAAAAGAATTTAGTGATGAAATGTTCACAACCTCCATGTAATGTGTAGGAGCTCCAGTGGGGGGGTGGTGGAGACCCTTGAGGTGGTGGCTCTGCCGGGGGACGTCCCGGTGAAGAGGTTCGCTCTACAGAACCAGCTCCCAGTCCACAGCTGGCCCCCCCACCCTATGGATGGACAGTTTGATGTGGGGGTGGTGGTGTCCTTTCGGCTGTTTGCCTCCCGGAGAAGCTCATCACAAGTTCCCACAGTGGAGCTGCTTTCATGTGATGTAGCTAAACCTGAAGAGTGCCCCCTGCTGGAGGCCCAGGCTGAATTAAAGCCTTCAGTTTGGTATCTGTGGCCTCTTAACATTGTCCTGCACTCAGAGAAGCCTAGGAGGTGGTATACCTAAGTATGATGGCTATAGAGATATTCTGATTCTAAAGTAACAGAGATCTCAGTGTGGACACGTCTTTAAAAATAGATTTAACTTTTACATTTGGGCCATTATTATTATAAATGATGGCCAAGACAAAACTTGCTATAGATAATAATACTTTTATTATTTACTCATATCATAGCCTTCATCTGAACATACAATTATTGCATTTTGTAAGAATACTTTTTAAATAATGTTTCAATTAGTATGATCATTTCAAAACTATAAGAAGTTATGAGTAACAGATTACCCTAGTATCAATAACATTAACCAAATAAAAGACGGCATAAATGACTTTGGCATTCAAAATAATGGTGTGTGTGTGTGTGTGTGTGTGTGTGTGTGTGTGTGTGTGTGTGTGTGTGTGTGTGTGTGTGTGTGTGTGTGTGTGGTGTGTGTGGGTGTGTGTGTGTGGTGTGTGTGTGTGTGGTGTGTGTGTGGTGTGTGTGTGTGTGTGGTGTGTGTGTGTGTGTGTGTGTGTGTTGTGTGTGTGTGTGTGTGTGTGTGTGTGTGTGTGTGTGTGTGTGTTTGTGTGTGTGTGTGTGTGTGTGTGTGTGTGTGTGTGTGTGTGTGTGTGTGTTCTCTGCAGTGGGATTCTGAATGTCCACCCCAGCCTGCTGCCTAGGTGGAGGGGCCCGGCCCCCATCTTCCACACCATCATGCATGGTGATGCTGTGACGGGGGTCTCCATCATCCAGATCCGCCCTCACAGGTAACCTGAGGGGAAAGCTCCTGATTCTACATTCCACCATCAGACCATCTGCCATCACACAGAGATTAAGAATGTCCCCCCCCCCCCCCAGGTTTGATGTGGGCCCCCTCCTCCAGCAGGAGCTCCATCAGGTCCCTGAAGGCTGCACTGCAGACCAGCTGGAAGCAGCCCTCTCCTCTAAAGGAGCACACCTGGTGGGTGTGTTGAACATGTCAGGTGTCTGTCTGCTCCCAGCAAGCTGACTGTGTTTGTTTTGCAGCTGCTTGATACCCTGAGGACTCTGTCTGAGAGAATAGCTCAGAAAAGAGAGCAAAGCCAGAGCGGGGGAACATTTGGTACGTAGCTCTGAACCACACAGACAGTCATGCTACATAAAACGTCTTCGTACTTACACATTCATTTCCAAATATAGCCCCCAAAATCAATGCCTCCATGAGCTGGGTGGAGTGGGAGGAGCAGACCTGTGATCAGATCAGCTGTCTGCATTGCGCCATCGGCTCGCGGGTAATGAACCATGGAGACATGTAGGCTCTGAGGAATGAAGCATGCCTCTGACGATGCTTCTCTTCCAATCAGATTCCTCTGAGGACCACGTGGATGGGAAGGACCATAAAGCTGCTGGACTTTGTAGGAAGATGTCACATTTCATTATTAGGTAAGTTTGGTTAATCCTATTGGAACATTTTGTGTTTTTGGATAGTTTCCTGAATGATGCCAGTGTGTCTTTTCTCTTCTACTGTACAAGGTAAACACATGTGCTACTTCTGCCTATGAAGCATTACAAATAACAACGCTGTTGATGTGAACAGTTGATACAAAAGTGACTACTCAACATTGTACAGCTCCTCAACTTTAACTGTGCTGAAAGTGAGCTTGATTTAATAATCATTCATGTGTGATAAATATAAATGGATCATTCAATCCTCTCATTGGTGTTCTATTAGCTGCAATACAGCAGCAGTGTCTAACTACTTTAGCCAATCAGTAGTGAGCATTTAAAGTGTATTTGATATACAGATCAAATGTATACCGATGAATAATATGGTGAACATTAATGTCTGCTACCTGTGATTTTATATAAGGCTTCTTTTCAGACCTCCCGTAGCAAGCAACACAATGCACACCGAAGGTTTTAGTGTGGTGCTTTGTTAGTGCACTACATTAGTTGAACCAGTCTGCGAGTCTAATATATTCTCTGAGATTGTGTTCTCTCTCCTCTGAAAGTGTGTTGTTCGTGTGTCGTCATCCCTCTGTTTGCAGATGAGAGGAGCAGAGCGGCCCCCGGCTCAGTGAGCTACCAGAAGGAGTCCAACACTCTGGCTGTGAGCTGTAAGGTGTGTTTCACTCACACACCTGGTCCTCTTTACAGTTGTATTGCTATATTTCTATTTGTGTTTTGACATAATGTCCAAATGTCCCTCAAATAATGTCTGTAAAGCCTTTTCGTAAATTGGTGTGGAGTGTGCAGCATGGTCACGTACCATTTGAAAGAAAGGTGAAGCTTCAGTGTGTAATCTGTGCCTGAGCAGCTGACTGCAGACTCCCTCTGTGTCCTACAATACAAAGTCCTACACTTAATACAATATGCACTAACATACACAGAACAAACAAAGCAGCAGTAGTCACAATCTTGTGCGCTAACCACATGTGAGTTCTTCTTGAGCTATATGTCTTACTCCCATAGTGCTCTTTGGGCGCAGTCCCTCACAAACTAACCAGGATCCTCTTAAAAAAATATGATGATCTCTCCAATGGAAAAATGAACATCATTTATTATATATTTATTTCAATAAGTTCACAAATGTTTTTTTCTTTATGTTTTCCCATCACAGCATGGACTCTTGGCAAAGGAAACAGACACACCCTACTAGTGTCTCTAGTGTCTGGGGTCTGCTGCATTCACTGGCCCTTTCTCCATGTCGAGCAGAGCTGCTGCAGAGCCACTATTTCAGTATACTACGTCATGGAGTGGCTCCGAAGGACTGTTTGAATGCATGTTAAACGCCCAGCATTCGGCGCCACTCAACTCGTAGTATACTTGAAGTAGTGGCTCTGCAGCAGGTATACTCGACATTGAGAAACGGCCAGAGTCCTCTGTTTGCTTTCTTGTTACTGCTGCCATGGCAATCGTGACACCTAGTGGTTACAACAGGAACTGTTTTAACATAAGGCCGTCCCTGGCTGCAGTCACTCTATTCAATTTGAGTTTGCAGCACTTATTATGTAATTCCCGAGTTTCAAGGACTGAAACACAATCACAAAGTGACACATCTTTTATTCCAGTGATGGACTGAATACTCTGGGCCGTGATTCAGAAAGCAGGATTAGTTCAGACTGTTATAGGAGGAAACTGGGTGTTCAGCATTTCAGAGAAAACTAAATGTGTTCTCAAGAAGTAGCTGAAGAAAGCCACTGGACGCTGGAGGTCCACATGACACACATAATGAGGTAGCTGTCAGGTGACGGTAGTAATAGTAAAGTATATATTGTGTTGTTGTACAACATTGTTGTCACAAACACTGGATCAGATTGTGAGCTTGCAGTAATGTATTTATAATGATAACTAACTCACATACTTTTCATCTTCAGCTGCTGTGTTTTTCCCCTTTCGTATTAAAGCTGAACAAATGTATGTCAAATATAATGAAAGTCCTATTTACTCTTTGTGTGAACGTGTGCTCCCTGCTCCAGGACGGCTGGGTGGGCTTCAGGTCTGTGCTCCTGAAGAAGAGGCTGACAGCAGGGGACTTCTATAACGGCTACCTGCACCAGACCCTGCACAGGAAGTCAGCCTGTGACATCACCAGAGCACAGTTCATCACCAGGAAACATGGAGGAGACGCAAAGGACATGAGAGAGGACTCTACGTCATGATGCTTCCTCTTCAATATGAACACTACAGATATCAGCTGCTGGGATTTACTGTATTTCGTGTGTTACTCTGTCTGTTTAAGACATCTGCAGGTACAGTGTGACTAGTTGTACTATACTTTACTTTTATTGCAATAAATGATATTGCTGCTGATTTATTTCAGGACTAAGACAGAAAGCGTATCACACTCCAAACATTAGCATTGTGAGCATGTTAGCTTCCTGATTTCATTTAGCTCACAATCTGATTGCAGCCTCACAGTCCGACAGCTGGACACTCGTATCAGGTTAACATGAATTCACACTGATAAAGACAACACTTTGTACGAGTATATATATTTATGTTCGGCTTCTGTGATTGGCTACATAAAATGCATTGTTAATTGTCTTGAGTTTTGAATATTAAGAACAATGTTATAATAATGATTTACCCTCAATATGCCAGCTGTGACACGATACAAGGTCATATGTTAGAGGCAAGCATTATGTGGAGGGAGACCTGTGGAACATACAGTATAACAGGCGGCTTGTGGCGCAGTGGATAGAGCCTTGGTGTTGGGACCAGGGGGTCACAGGTTCAAACCCACTGCAGTCAGCATGTCGTTGTGTCCCTGGGACACCAAAGTGCTCCTGCACAGTATTGAGTATGGAAGTCGCTTTGGATGAAAGAGTCTAACAAGCAACATGTAATAACACATACTTCTCACCGTGAGTGGATTGTCTTCATGAATAAATGGCAGCGATGACATGGTGCCTTTTTCCATCCATTTAAAAGTCCTGTTCACAGACCTTTGTTTCAAAGGCACAATAATGAAAATAAACATATCAGAAACATACTTCCCACACACTTTTTTTAAAGTGGCAAACCATTCAACGTGATGACCTGCTCACCAAAAGGCTTCTGGGAAATGAAGGAATCCGACACAGACATGAAAAGAATGATTGAAAAGAGGGTACATCGTGCAGCTCCCTGGCCCAAACACATTGACCTTTCACTTGAAGGTTGAATGTCCCCTCTGTGGGATGAGTCAAAGTATTCTGGCTCTGAAACACATCATGCCTCCTGACCTGTAGGCGTAGGCAAAGTCGGCTCATAGCACACAAACACTAGTCATCACACGCTTCTGTCATAACATGAATTCATCATTTATACACAAACATCAATCAAATTAATATTTTCATAAAATATATTGTTTATGTCTGCAAATGACGTACATGATTATTTACATAAAGAGCAGGGGATTGAGGTCCAACCACAGACAGAGACACACAGAGCCTCTGAGTTTTGCTCAATAAATCTTGCTTACTAGTTTCACTCAAGATCTAACCATTGCCACTGCACCAATGCCTTCATTCAATGTCTCATGTCCTCAGTGTCTGGAAAAGGTTCATAAACAGAGATTCATTTCAGCGTGAGCAGCTCTGGTTCTGCTCAGGGTTTTTAAGGACAAGCTGGCACAGAATGCATCAACAACCCTAACCGCAGGATCCAGTAGGAAAAGGCAAACAACACTACTTGTAGTGCATCTCCACATTAGTTGCTGTATGTGTTTAGTTATGTTTAAGTTTGTAATGATCACATGGTACATTTGGGATTGGCTATTTATGACTCACTTACTTAATTCTTGTGCTGAAGAATTCACTTTTATATTGAATATTACTTTAGCTGGTACATGTGTTTTCTTGTAAAGATGTTGCTTCTGCATGATAACATTTTGCACTGAACACTGAACTGGTGTTGGATACTGCTTGTATAATGCTTACATTTCAATTTAGAGTCTAATTGCTCTATTGTAGTTCCTATTTAATTACACTTTTTTTTGTTTTGGCTCTTTTATATTAATGTATTCTTTATTTTGACCTTTCTCGATGTAAGATATGTATTTATCTTCTCTGCTGCAACACCAACATTTTCCTTCTGGCCATCAATAAAGGTGATCTGATCTTTTAATAAAACATGAAGCTGATGAAGCTGGACAGACTGTCTGGAGATGATCAGGCTGTTCCTTAGTCTGGACTGTACCACGTCCCGCTCTAACTCAGGGAGCTGTCAAGTGCACTTTCACTTCCCTTTGAGGAAAACTACGAATCAATTCAAGGTAATGCGCAATGTTTAACATTAAAGTAGAACTCTACATAAAGTCAATACAACTTATGCTGAAGGAAATAGCCCTTATCATGTTGGCTCTGCTCCCCCCCCCCCCCCCTGTGGTAACGGTTCAGAGAGACTTCCATTTTACACGGTGACTGCGAGCTGAACCTAAAGTGACAGAGCACAACTTCTCCAGTGTAGCAGCCCGCCTCTCCAGACAGCATGCTTAGCGTTAAACTGTAAGCTGACCAGACCAACACGACATTTAGTTTTAAGTCAAATTAACAGTGGCGTAGAAACACGGGTAAGTTTGAAATTATTAGACGCTGTTGTAGCTAGCTAACGTTACCATAACAGTCCCAGTGTGTAGCTGTCAGTTGTTGTCTTAATAATGAAGCTCGCGTAGGCTTCGTAAGCTTCGGCGTAGTATCCACTGTTACTGTTATGGGTTGAACGGCAGTTAAATATGACAGTAATGTGTTTATGAAATGACGTCATGTTAGAGTTGCTGTGGTTTACAGCAGTAGGGTATGATGTCAGCTGTTTGAGGAGCCGTGAAGCAGCCCAGGTAACGTTACGCTTCGCATTTCAGAGGTCTGTTAAAGAGAATGTTACCAAACCCGGAAGTGGCCACCGTCACTCCTCTCTGTTAGCATGTCCCTCACAGGACCCTGCTGAAAGGCTGGTTCTAAACACTTCTGGCATAAGGTATTACTGTCTAAATACTTTTTTCTTCATACTTTTCAAGAGTATGTCTAATGCTAAGACAGCACTCAATTATCTAAATTACTTTGAGTTATTAAGACCAAATGGCTTTGGGTATCAATGTTTGCCTTACCACATTTGTTTATTTATGTTGTCATACAACTGAACTAGTCATGAAATCGTTTTTATTGATGGACCATGATATGGTGCAAAATGCAAGAGCGTGTAAAACCTGATGTGAGCACAACATCTGAGTTTAGGCATACATTTACACTTGTATAAAATATCCACGTATCTGTGAACCAAATTTGAAGTCACAGAAGAAAAAGTGTTGTAGCTTGTAGAAAAAAAATGAACTTAGTGATGAAATGTTCACTTGCAGAATTATTTATTTTTTTAAAATATATTTTCCATTACAACTGCAACTTGGTTATTACAACCTCTCAAATCAGTCATTACAACTTCACAAATCTGCTCTGTGGCAGACAGTATACATCGGCGGCCTTGACTTTTGCTACACTTCTTGCTATGAATGTGTCGCTAAAGTAATTTTCACCTGTAGAGGAACATGGGGAGAAAGGGGGGTTGGAGCGAAAGGGCGGAGCTATCAGAACGAGGAGGCGCAAACTCGGGTCAGTCACACAGCCATGTCAGGTCGAACCGGATGACTGTGGGGCCCCGCATGTTGCCCCTTTCACACCAACGCGGTTCCAGGGCCGGTTCAGAGCTTGTGCCTGATAAGCACTGGTTTTTCCTGTTCACGCCGCAGCGGAGCCGGCTCTTTTCCCCGAAAACCCGTTCTTACCAAGCTCGAAAAAAGTGTCGGTCTAGTCTAGAGGCAAGAACCGCATACGTCACGCTTACGTCGGAGGGGGGCGAGATTAACCTGAGCTAACAGTTTATGGAGTGTAAGGCAAATACAAGTTGAAACAAGCAGTAGTTCAAAGTGACTAGAACGCAACCACACACTTATAAAAGAAAACACACTTTATAAAGTCAGGCAACACTAACCAGGCTTCGTGTGATTCTGTTTATCTGTACCTTACGTTGACCATCCGTTCACTGTTATTGATCTTTGTGGAGGGGGCAGACGTTTTGCTTTGTATTATAGCAGCTATCAGATGGAATCAATACATGGGCTAGACAGGTTGTCATGTCCGACTATCAATTCAATTCAATTCAATTCAAAACCTTTATTTATCCAGGTAAAATCCCATTGAGATCAATGATCTCTTTTTCAAGGGAGACCTGCAGCAGTAGGTTCCACAAGAAGACATACAAACATAAACAACAGAACAACAAAAGGACATCATACAGCAAAATGTACAGGGATTACAATTTACATATTTAACCACAAGTACAGGTACCAACAGCATCTGATTGTGTAGCATCCAACCGAGCTTTAAAAACATGTAGTGGTACTAGCTTGGTAATTTTCCATTCTTTTTGCAGACTGTTCCATGTTAGTGGAGCTGCACATCTAAAAGCTTTCTTCCCTAAGACAGTCCTAGCACTTGGCACATTTAATAAAACCACAGCATGCGATCTCAGGCAATAAGTACTTTCAATTCGCAGAGAGATCAGGGAGCAGATATAAGATGGTAGTTTATCCAACATGGCTTTGTAAATGAAAAAGTACCAGTGACTGAGCCTCCGTACAGTAAGTGATGGCATAACCGCCTTGGTATACAGGGTACAGTGATGCGTAAGTGCTTTACAATTTGTCAAAAATCTCAGTGCACTGTGATAGGCGGCATCTAACTTGCTCAGGTAATTGGCAGGTGCATTCATATACATCAGATCACCATAATCCAGCACAGGTAAAAAGGTCACAGTGACTAGCCTTTTCCTGGCCTCAAGCGAGAAACAGGACTTGTTTCTGTAAAAGAAACCTAGCCTAACCCTCAGCTTTTTCAGCAGGTTATTGACATGACGTTTAAAAGTGAGACAGTCATCAAGCCAGATACCCAAGTATTTGTAACAGGTAACCACTTCAAGTTGTATTTCTTGCGTAGTTACAATATCCAAAGCAGTCTCTGGTGTATTTTTAGCTTTAGCTTTAGAAAAGAGCATTACCTTGGTTTTATCCACATTTAAAAGAAGCTTAAGCTCAGAGAGCTGAGCCTGAATAATGTTAAAAACAGCCTGTAATTTAACAACAGCCTCGTTAATCGAGGGACCTGCACAGTACATAACGGTATCGTCCGCATAAAAATGTAAGGTTGCTCCTTCGACATTTTCACCTAAACTATTAATATATATAGAGAATAATAGCGGACCTAAAACTGAACCTTGTGGTACACCATTAGTGATGTTTAACCACTCAGAAGACAGCCCATCAAAGTGAACACATTGGGACCTTTCAGAGAGGTAGTTCACAAACCACCCCACTGCATGGCTGGACATGCCTATACTGACCAGCCTTTGCTTCAAAATGCGATGATCGACAGTATCAAAAGCTTTGGATAGGTCAACAAATAGAGCTGCACAACTCTGCTTATTATCTAAAATACTCGTAATATCATTTACAAGTAGAATCATAATGAAAAATACGCCGGTAAAATGTGTCTGTAGAAAACGGCTTATGCCACAAGTTAAAGCAACAAGTAACCTAGTCAATATAGTCAGTGTAGCTTTGGTTGCTATGCTAACATCACCCATTTTATACCAGAGAAACTTTCATAACAGCGTTGTGATGCCAAACAGCGTCAATTCAGACTGACACACATTCACTTATGGGGAATTGGGGATATTTATCAGCTGCTTGTGTGACAGTCGGACAGTGAATACTTTAGAGTGGCCGCTGCTGTGAGTTAATGCCGCTGTAACACATTAATAAGCAATGAACCACGGCACTCTAGAGAAAAGGTTGGAGAAGTAGTTATTTAATTTAATCTGGCTTCGTATGATTAAAAGTAACACGATCATCGACCCGACGCAGTCCCCCATTGTTGTTGTTGTGAGCGAAGCACGGAGCTAGAACGTGAGCTGCGTTGGTGTGAAAGGGGCAACAGTAGTCACTTGTTTGTGTGTGACTGACCCGAGCTTGGGCCTCGTCGTTCTGATATCTTCGCCCCTTCGCTCCAACCCCCCTGCCTCCACCCACATCTACACATGCATTTCCAAACATTCGGTCTACTTACGCTGTAAAATGTATTATCTCTTCGATTTCCACACGGCATCTATTGCACTCTGTCCGTCCTGGGAGAGGGATCCCTCCTCTGTTGCTCTCCCTGAGGTTTCTCCCATGTTCCCTTTAAACTGTGGGTTTTCTCCGGAAGTTTTTTCTTGTACGATGTGAGGGTCTAAGGATAGAGGGTGTCGTTTTTCTCATACTGATATTCTGAACAATCTGTGCTGTTGTATTTACTGTATATTGTCCTTACTGTAAGGTAATTATTATATGTACAGCACTTTGGCTCGACCAAAAATCGTTTTTAAAAATGTGCTATATAAATAAAACTTGATTTGATTTGATTTACAGGTGAAAATTACTATTATCGCAAGAAGTGTAGCAAAAGTCAAGGCCGCAGATTCGTCGATGTATACTGCCACAGCGTAGATTCGTGAAGTTGTAATGACTGATTTGAGAGGTTGTAATAACCATGTTGCAGTTGTAATGAAAAATATATTTTTCTGCAAGTGAACATTTCATCACTAAGTTCATTTTTTTTCTACAAGCTACAAAACTTTTTTTTTTGCTGCTCACATCAGTTTTTACAAGCTCTCGCATTTTGCACCATATACCTTCATACATGACAGCTACCCTTTTATCACCAGCTGTGTTTTGACTAAATCATTATTTATCCTGTGGACATTTTGTGTCACAACTAACTTTATTTAACTGGCCTGAGTCACAATAGAGTTTTAGCATTGCTTTGTTTCCCCGGTGCACACTGAAACACAGACCCAAACTCTGCCTTACCCCTGGATTCCACCGGGTCCGTCTGCGCCGCGTCACGGGGCTGCGTCGCTGTTTTGGTCCGGCCTCCTCCAGCGTCATAACCCACCGGGCGCGTTTCAGAAGCGGAGCATCTTGCGTGCCGGCTCAGAGTTTTTGTTGATTTGGGCATATTTCCTGGACAGGCTACTTCGTGCAGACAAAGTTAATAATAATAATAATATTCCAGTTATAAACTATATGAATCAATTATGTGTTGCTGTATTTTAGTGGTAAAAAAATGCATTCATCATCATAATTATTCTATATATATAATTTACACAGTGCCTGTAAACCGGAGGAGAACGCTGGCATTTCTCCTCCTACTTGAAAGAGTACGGAGGGATAGGGTCTGCAAATTAGTTTATTTTGGGGATTGACTGGATGCTCCGGTCCACTTCCTGCCCGGCGCTATGCAACGCGTCGCGTCGAAAATTGCATCCTATTTTTAGCGGAGCCCAGCGCCGAGACGCTTTTGGGACGCTTCTGGGACGTTTCTGAGCCGTAACGCGACGCGTCTGGTGGAATAGCACCCATTGACTAGAGTGGTTGCGATTGTGGTGAACGCTGCGGCGCAGCCGTAACACGGCACAG